TGAAGTTCACATGGCAGTACGGATGTTCGCCAGGCGTTCGGTTGGTTCCACTGTTAACCCTCATTCTTCGGGTAGTTCGCCCGGGCGAGGAGGTACGCCATTTTGTGAATATTCCCAAAGTTAATGGGACCGAGGTCAAATGTGAAAAGTACGTGGACGAAATTGCTTCCTACATTCCAGCTCCCCGCTTGGTTCTCCACCCAGACATGCAATATGTCCACATTGAAAGGACCAGACTAGATGATACAGGCTGGTACAGATGTGTCGAGACCAAGAGTGGGGAGTTTGTGCTCCCACGTGGCGAAATCCAAGTGTTACTCGAGGATTACCACATTAACATGTCTTTCGCCTATAACGATACAGCCAACACTACATTACTGAACGTAGAAGCTCAGCCTTACAGATCCGCGGGAGTGGTCTTCACAGGAAGCCTACCATTCGTCTATTGTACTTACCAGCGGAAATTCCAAGGCCACATGGTTTTTGGACTTGTGGATTTGACGACCAAAACGAATTGCACAATGTGTGCCTTCGTGAGAGATTACGACAGGCACGAGTATGGTCAGACCAAATACGAGAGGGTCTATAGTATAGGACCGTACAAACACACTCCACCCGTTGTAGAAATCAGCATGGGATGTGCGAGCACATTTACCTCATACCGGAACTATCGCGACTACAGGGGGATCCACACTCGTTCGGATTATATTTCCACTCCGGATCGACGTCAATCCATGGCTTACCATCGAATGTTCTATTCAAAGGATGGTAAGCCTTACATTTTGTTCGATACAATTCAAACCAGTAGGACCCAGATCACCAATAGACTTAAACAATCGACCGCGGCTAGCTTGAATCTCGTCTCTGTTCTCCTATTACCGGTCAGTGAAGAGCCAGTGGTGGGTGTGTTGACGGGCAGTTTTCTAGCCTATCACACTCTACCTCTCGGATGGGGCTCAGTTTGGACAATCTACCTGAAATCCGAGGGCGAATATGCATACCGAGACTGTGAAGTGGCGGTGATCAAAGTGACCGACACACACCCGGTCAGTTGGGTGTACGAAACAGTCTATAATGTTGTGTGGAACTATACATTCATATGCGTGTTGAGCCAAGTCACGGAGCTAATTGTCTTAAACTCGTTCAACGTGTATCGATCGGAAGTGGACATGAAGGAATACGAGAGGAAGTTTCGTGACGAAGTAAGAGCCATACTGACAACGTTTGATCCATCGGACAGAAAATCCTACGATCCAAGCACGCTTTCCGAATCGAATGAATTTCACGAGTCCCACCGAATTGTACGAATCAAGTCCGACCCGACGTTTGTTCAGAATAACACCCAACCGCCGATTATCTACGACAAACTCATTCGGTCTAGTCAACCGGTTATTTTTGAAAATCTTTTCGAATCCGGAATGGAGTTCTCCAACGCAGCCAGTTTCCACAAGTCAGGATCCACAAAGATTCTGGATGAACTTGTTGCCAACATCACGGTTGTACAGTATTTGGGAAAGCCGAGGGGTTGGCCTTTGATGTGGATTTTCTATGAAAACAAAGGTATGCAAAAAAAGGACTGCATTCAATTGAACCACACGGACCTAAAGCCGTTTCAAGTGCCCAAGGAGGCTCGTGATGCGAACTACTTCTTGGAAGTTGGTGTTGGCTTTGCCGAGGTGACGTTCTCTTGCACTCTGCAAGCTGACGCTGTGGCCTTGGTCCTACTCACATTTTACAGTAAGCCAGGAATGGAGGACATGACAACGAAAGCAATGGAAGCATCGTTCAAAATCCACCTGACCAATTGGATGAAAAATCCAACCGATACAAGTCCGACTCTAGTGCTTAGTCATACACTGGCAGCCACGTTCACCTATCGTATTCAACGACTCAATCTTGCCTGGCGTGGTTCTGTTTTGGAAGGTGAACAGTGGCGTATGCTAGTCTCGGATCCCATACTAAGACAAACACGGGAACCGAATTGCTCTGAACTTGTATTCAAAATTTTCCACAGAAAGAATTTGGACGATAAGGCAGAAGTAAGGTCTAGAACTGGCAAGCAACTGGTCTATCTAGAGTCCGAAGGCCGGGCGTCCTTGGGTCAGTCAGGCTGGTATAGTAGTTCTTACGTAAGGTGTGGTGAACCCAACACGGTGGTCGAGCTTATGGCGCCTCGTCGCCTCAACGTGTTCCCACATCCCGCCTCGTATGCCATCTATTTTAGCCCCGAACGAGTCCCCATCACAGATATACTGGCAAAGAGTCGTAAGGAAGCGGACATCGCCCACTTTAGCTTATTCCGAGGGGAATCTGGTTACATCTACTGTGTACACAATCGGACCTCGGAGCCAGACATGGTTTCCGTGGCTGCGGTTGTCATCTCATACAGTATGTCTGTAACACGTACGTTTCTGTGTCAAACGAATACGACCACGAAGGATGCGAGTGGGACCAAACTGTTTGTCTACGTGTGTGTATTTACAACGAAATCTTTGGTGGGACGGGAGTTCGGTCATTTGGAAGCCACGTGTGTGTTCAAAATCAGACCGGACATCCTGGACAAAAAGGATATACGACTTCGGGAACAGCAAACACCGTACACACGTTCGCTGATGATCAACTTCGAGGTTCGAGTGGCTCCGTGGATTTTTGCCGAACTCATACTGTCCGAAAATGCCGATCTGGCGGCTGCTTTCCAAATGGTCAGGTCTAATCCGATAAATCTGAAACAATATGAGGAATACTCAGTACTGAGCTTACCTGCCAATAAGACTGTTCAATGGAGTGTCCCCATATGTAGAGGATCACCATCCGGGACCGCGGAAGCCTACTTATATCTGAAAGACCAAGAAACAGGCAAGTTAGTGACTGAACCTTGTAAGTTGGTCAGTTCGATCGAGATGAGGACTCAAGCGTTGCCTGGACTGATACTGCAACAGTATACGAATGCGGAACTGGAAATGACGCACGTTCAGAACTTCACATTCGCGTGCACCGTGAAACCGGAACATCGTGTATTGGGACTGATTGCGTACAAAGACCCACAATTAAAGCCCACCATTGATGGGAACATTGGGGTGAAAGTTGCACACTGGCTCGCCGGGTCTGCGGAAGACCAGGCTGCACTTGACCCGTTGCTGGTGCACTATAAGCTAGTCCGGTTGATGTACGAAGGCGAACTCGAAGAGGAAGACGAAGATAAATGGGAGAACGAGCCACTAGAACCATTCCCGGAGTCAACTCTTCCTGATAAAATAAAGCACACGATTAAATGTTTCTACCAGGCCACTGCGGACGATAAACCGGAAGAGCTGGACACTTCCTCGCCATCCTCTTCGTGGCGGATAGTTTGATCTCGTTGGGACTACGGGAAGGAATGGAAGAATCTGTTTTGTCTGCACTGTTCTCACAAGATTGTTGTGTTTTGCAGAGTTATGTGCATCTTGTTGACGTTACTGTTCTCATCGGTTCCTAACAATACATCCAATGTTTCCGACCGAATGCTCCACTGGTCGCGTACACTATCTCGGGTGTAAGAAATTCCAGGTTCCGGTGGTCCTAACCGAACCCAAAATGTGCACAACAAACGCTGAATAAAATTACCCTGTCAGCGGCAATTAAGTCCGATGCATATCGCGTCGGTTCGTCGAGAGTTACGCGAAAGATAGATAGATAG